CTTTCATTCGAGACCAAATAGAAAAATCAAGAGGATTGAAATCTGGACTTCTGGGTGGCCAAGCAAAAAAGCTTACATGGCCAATCCAGCGATTTAGAAAAACTGCATCTAAATATGCACGCACTAGCTGTTTCAGGTTTTGAATCAAGTTTCGTATTAGACATATTTCGAAAAAATCACAATTATTTCGATGACCTACAACCAAAAAGACTTTGGCGTTCCAGAACATAAAAATATTTTGTGGCGACGTGACAAAAAACACTCACTTAGTCAACCAAAAATTTAACGAAAACGCCGACAGTTTTCGAAAAAACCATTATTCGTACCTTTTTATTCCACCGTCACACTCTTGGCAAGATTCCGGGGGCAGTCCACGTTACAGCCCTTCAGGACGGCGATGTGGAAAGAGAGCAGTTGCATGGGGATGACGGTCAGGATCCCCTGCAGGCAGTCGACCGTCTTGGGAATCTCCAAGGTCTTGTAGCCGTAGGCCAGGGTCTCCTTGTCGCCCTCCTCGCAAATGATGATGGGTTTACCGTCACGGGCGGTCACCTAAACGAAATTCCCAGCGTTAATAATCGATTACGACGCAAAAAGCTCGTTCCATCCGCTAACCTGTTGCAACGCGTTCATGCACTTGACGTAAACGGGGTCCCTCATAATGATCATCATCACGGGCATGGCTTCGTCGATGAGGGCGAGGGGGCCGTGTTTCAGTTCGCCGGCCATGATGCCTTCGCTGTGCATGTACGTCAACTCTTTTACTTTCTGCAAAGAAAAAATTACACACATCCGCACCGGGAAGCGATCGGGATCGAACGACTTACCAAGGCACCTTCCAGGCACGTGGCGAAGTTAAAACCGCGACCCATGATAAGCAGAGACTTCTTCTTGTAAAGGTCCCCGGCTAACACCTTAACTTTATCGTCGAGCTTCAGGACTTGACGGATCTGGTCCTGCAAGTTCCTCAGGCCGTTGATGATCTAAAAATAAAATATTCATTGACGAAATAAAAGTGTTATTACATGGAACTTACGTCCTCTCGCCGCTTGCGCAAGGAAAGCCTGTCTTCACTCATCACGAGGGCGAACATTACCAGCGAGATGAACTGACTGGTGTAAGCTTTGGTGGAAGCGACGCCAATCTCGGGACCGGCGTTGATGTGCACCCCGCAGTGCGATTCCCGACAAATTGAACTACCGACGGTGTTCGTGATACCAACGATCAAGGCGCCCCTTTCTTTGCAGTAACGTAGAGCCATTAGAGTGTCAGCCGTTTCACCTAGAAATTATAAATTGAGAACGGACTGGAACGCTTAAGAACTGTAAAAACGTACCCGACTGCGAAATGAAGAAGCAAACATCGTCTCTGAACACGGGGGTTGTGCGATCCAAGAAGTCGCTCGCCAGTTCCACCATGACGGGCAATTCGGTGAGCTCCTCCAAGAGTTGCCTGGTAGCGATCGCGCTGTGGTAACTGGTCCCGCAGCCGATAAGCATAAGTCTCCTGCACCTTTTGATTTCCGGAATATAGTCTTTGATCCCTCCCAAAACGACGTTCTAAAAAATATTTTCATTTTATGCACAACTGAACAAGTTCTGATACGTGCACCTACTGGTCGTTTGAACTACTCCTACATCGTTACATAAAACTTGTGAATAAATAATCTACAGACAAAGATAGCTTCTAAATAATTTTAAAGTGTAAAGCCGTACCCCCGTTTCGAAATTGACGCGGCCCCTCATAGTGTTGATAACGGAGTCCGGTTGCTCAAAGATTTCCTTCTGCATGAAGAAGTCGTAATTGCCCTTCATGATCTGCTGCAGTTCCATCTTCAACGTGGTGATTTCGCGTTTGTGCGGGTCGTCGCCGCCACGTCTGATCCTGTGGATGCTGAGGGAACCGTTTTTGACGGCGGCAACGTCGTCATCCTAAACATTTAAGGATAAATTTCGGAACATAGAACATTAGGGAAAAGAATAACCTCGAAATAGATGACGCGATTGGTGTGTTCGATAATAGCGGAGGCGTCGGACGCAAAGAAGTATTCTACTTGTTTGTCTTCGAGGGGTTCGAATTCGGAAGTAGAACCAGTTCTGGGCAAGGTGGGATAGTCCGCCCTTCCGTACGGCCGGTGTTCTATAAAATACGTTGAAAATGTGATAATAAAAGTATAATCCGAATAATCGGTTTGTTCGTCACATTTTCGCAACAGTGTTTTGTTCAATGCCACGTTTAATTTTTGCAAATGAAAATGTCTCGAACAAAACTCTAATCAAAGCAATTAAATTTTATTAAATTTACTGCTGTTTGTATAATTACACGTTTCAAATATCGGATAACTTCAAATTGTGTTACAAGCCCAATGTATTCCAAAAGGTATAATCGAGATATTTCTCAGACACCTTCGCTTTGATTTTTTTCAAACGGTACCTTTAAAGCGAACATTCCAAGATAAATTCTTCATTTTCTTTACACAGACTGCTTTCATATACATATTTTTACACGTCTGAAAAACATCTCGCATTTTTGAGAAGTTATATCGTTATAAAATCTCCAAGCGTTAGGTACATCGAATTTACGTCACACTGTATATACAAAAATTTTAAAATATTAGTGTAATCCTTAAAATAAACGCATAGCACCGTCACCTTTCCGTGTCAGTATATCTTAAAACGTTATAATGTAAAAAACTTACCGAGAAACAGAGATAATCTGTGTGTATCCTCAACGATTACAGACAGACAGACCAAACCCTGTGTGAGTGTGAAAGAAGCGGAAGCCAATGTTAAAAATAAAGAAAAACGAGTAGACAAAGGGTACTACCTGAGTTGGAATCTGCATCTGCAGCAGCGCCCAGAAATAGAACAAGGAACAAAACAAACATTAAATAAAACACAAACAAACATAACACTAAATATGCCGACGAAAAATACCCGGCTTAATCGTTATTTATTACTGTTTTTTTCGCAATACCGGTATTTTCCGTCGACGGGAAATACGGATTAGTTTAGTAAGAGTAAAATAATATTAGGAGTAAAAACGTCAGATAAGATATGATCCAAATCCTTGAACATACGTTTATGTTTAAAAGTTATCAATAGTTTTATTAAAAAAAAAAAACGAAAATATACAAAAATCTTGTGAAATATGTATTTTCAGAATTTCCATGTCGTAATGAAATATTTATAAGAAAATACTATTTTACTTAAACTAAAAATAATTTTTGAACAAAAATAAGCTCGAAAAATAAATATTATCTATACCAGGTACTGTTTATAAACAAATAATAAGGGGTCGATCTCACGTTTCTCTGTAAATTTATATTCCTATAAGTTACGATTAACCTGTAATTGTAAATTTAAATTATGCAAGTTTGGAAACTGAGGTGCAAATGAACTACTGAACGTCACTTCACTGAAATAGCGGTTGACAACCTTAAAATTAGCGTTTTCCATTCATCTGCACTTTTGCACTCAATACGCACCGAGAGTATTTCCATCCTTTATTATTCTATATGATAATAAAGGACGGACATATTCTCAGTGCAATTTCAGTGTACAAGTGCAAAGGAATGGAAAACGCTTTTAGTTTGTTCGAGTTAAAACTTCAAAATGTCTTTTCCTAACCTCACAAGTCGCTCCGACATCAGGTTCAATCGTCAAGAATTACGATCTCGTAGAGTTTTTGTAAATTACGCGTAACGCAGAATCGACCCATAAATTTGAAATAGTATAGACAACACCAGACAGGATTTGTTAAAGTACATAGTGACAGACAGAGAAATTATTTACCCCGTAAATTCCTGGAAATATGTACATGTACTCTCCAAAACCTGAAGCAAGACCAACTCTGATTCTATCAAAAAAAAAATTACGACACTGAAAAGACATCAGCGGTTTCAATCGCTGTCAAATGAAATTCAGAGCTGGCCTCGCGAGTGTTAGAGCGGACCGAGAAACGAGAAAAACAGAAACCAGGCCAGTGTTAAATAGTCGTTAAGGATTGTTTTTATATACCTTTGTTGATTGGTGAAGTGGGGTGGTCTTCTACAGAATGCCAAATCCATTAGAAGGGACAAAAGTGGGAAAAACAACAAAAATGTTAGAAAAATTGTTAAAAAAAAACATCACACAGCAATATTTTGTTAGTTACATTCAGAACGGTGATAAGAATTTCGTCAAAACCTTAGCGGAAAATAGTCAAATAAGACAAGTGTTACTAAATTTTCTACATTTATTCATAATTAATTTGATTAAAAATCGACAAAATTTCCATTAGTGCTAACGGTTACATTAAATTTGGCGAAAAAAAAACGCATGTAAAAAAAGTAAATATTTTTAGTTACTCGTTTTATTACGTCCAGTTAACAGAACTGTATTTACGTTATTTGACACTTTCCTAATCGAACGACTCGTTTAATAAGAAAAAACCGTACTTGTCAGCTTTCGTGTTTTTCAAAAAGTAAAGAACCAAGCGTCTTTTGACTTCTTACTTTTCACAACTCCCAGAAAAATGCCATCTAATAATCCGATGCACAAAATCCACTGTGCCGTCTACTGTTCGTTATATTTTAGTTTCCAAATTCAACGCAAGTACAGCTTTTACTTAGCAAACGGTATATTTGCCTCAAGCTAGATCTCGGTTAAAATAAAAGCGTTTTTCTGAATGTAACGAATGAATCGTGAATGATGTTGAATGTTGGGATCGAAACTGATCTTCAAACAAATAGTCGTACTCTATACGACAACCGATTAATGAAATTTCTTCTCGGTAACCCAACATTACGGTCGGTTAGTAAAAGGTTAATTATTAGTCACAGATATAGAAATGAAAGTAAGTCGGTTAAAAGAAGGAATCTACAATGGTGGAAAAGCGCCGATCAAACTATCTACTGGTACGTAAATACCAAGTTCTAACGGATCATGCACAAACTCGGAAATAAATATATCATGCGGACCTACCACCTTAGACGTTTGAGAAAGAGGTCCCCCTTAACCTTAGTGAGAATGAAAATGATTAGTACGGGAGCGATAAACGGTAAACGGACTTACCCTTGCTGTACAGGATGGGAATGTGATCGGTGGCCAATCTCGTGGCCGTTTTTATACCCACCAAAAGGGGAGAGCCCCGTCTCGTGGCGACGCATTCGCCGGGGAAGAACTTGGATTTAAAACAAAGGGCAAAGGCGCCTTCCTACAAAATAAAATTGAAACGCAAAGATAAAACATCATTTCCCAGATCTTTACGTTTTCATAACCGACTTTTGATTTTCTTGTGTAAGCCATATTGGATTTTTGCACCGTTAGGTGAAGCGTTAAATTTCCAGTCCAACGATGTACAATATTTGGGTAAAGAGGTTTTATTAAGGGCCAAAAGCGCCAATTTTGGTTATTTATTCAATTTAATCGTAGTTGCCATGATAGAAACAAACGAAAATTTTGACATTTCCTGGTGTCGTTACAAATGATAGTTTGTTTACTTTTAAACAGAAACGTCAAAATTTTCATTTGTTTTTTTATGGCATGGTGATTAAATTAAATAAATCATAAAATTGTCGTTTTTTAGTCCTTAATAAAACCTCTTTGCCCAAGTATTATACATCGTTGAACTTGAAATTCAATATGGCATCAATAAGAAAAATCAAAGGTGCTGAAAGATCTAGGAGGCCTGGCCTAGTAAAATTTTCCTTCCTTTCTGAATACTTTCCAAACACTTGCGATATTTTATATTTACGTCAGTTCGATCGTATTTAAACAAAGCACTTAACGTCAAAATTATGAATAATGTATATTTATTTCTGATAACAACTATTACCGTTACGTTTGGAATTTCGACATTGAAAAAGTATTTTTTACGAACGTTTGAGCATCCTGTAATTTGAGACAGTGAAATATATTTACTCCAACTCACCAGTTGCTGTACGACAGACTCGACGAGCTCCCTGAAGGAATAGCTCGGGTGCTTCTGGTAGAAGTGGTGGATCAGCTTGACGATGACCTCGGTGTCGGTCTCGCTCTCGAACTTATACCCCTTCTTCTCCAGGAACACCTTGACCTCCTTGTAGTTGGTGATGATGCCGTTGTGGACCAGGACGAAGCCGTTGTGGGGGTCCGAACGGAGGGGGTGGCAATTGACTTCGTTGGGCACCCCGTGGGTTGCCCAACGGGTGTGGGCGATGCCGCAGTGGATGTCGGTGGAGCCGTCCATGTTCAGCTCACTGCTTCCTGCGATAACGCAACGTTTGTAGAAAAAATAACAGCGTTTTCGTTTTATTCGCACTTGGTGCGTCCTGAGGATGTTTCCGTTATTTATTATTAGAGTCGGTACAGGACGAAGGGATGCGCAAAGTGCAATTAAACCGAAAACAGTACAATTTCTTTGAAAAACCTCAACGATACAGTTTTTTTCAAATTAGAAACCGATTTTCTACTCAAAACCGATATTTGACAAATAATACAGATCTTTTTGCATAATTCGTCACACTTGTGAGGTAGGAACAATCGAAACAGCGCCAATAATTATTTTTTGTATTTTTTCTGTAGCTGTGTTGGTTTATCCCAGACCGTACTCGTATATTCAATGCTTGTAACATTAATCGTTTATACATTTTTTTAATAGTGATAAAATCTCAGGTAAAAGCGAATAATAAGCGATAGGTGGCGCCACTCACTGTTCTTAATCTCCTCTTCGAGCAGGGCGACTTTGCCGGCCTTCTTGATGATGGCGATGTCCTTGTCGTCGGCGGTATCCACGGCGACACCTACGCAGAACAAAGTTATTTCCTGCGAGCTGCTTCGAGGGGTTATCTCGTTTTTTATTTTTATTCGGTGTTTTTTTATTTTGTTGTTTACCTGCGGAATCATAGCCGCGATACTCCAACCGCTTGAGTCCGTTGACCAGGAGTTCCAAGATCTCGGCCCTCTTCTTGGGGGTGAGGTAGTTCAGGTAGGCGAAAATTCCTGCAACAGGACAGAGGTCAACGAGCGAATGATAGATACAAATATGGAAATACAAGATGAACGTAACAGCAGGCAATATTTTCAAAACGTTTGTAAATGATTGAAATGAGGTTTACAATGTTTCAAATTCCACCCCTTCATTAAAACATTTTTAATATCCCCCGCATTACGTAATACCTAAATTATAACGCTTGCTTTGAATCGTCCTTCAATTGTTTTAATAACAAGCGTTCAAATAAAAACGTGGTCAAGTTGGTTCTGAAAATTTGGACGTAGGGCGTAGCGTATAGCAAATGAACTTAAACGTCATCTGTCAAAGCGCTATATCGCCGCTATCAATTTGAATATTTTCGTTTTAAAAAGCGTTTAAAATGGTGTTTTCTCAAGAACAAAAAGTGTTTATCATAGAGTCCTACTTTAGAAATGAACGCAAGATTGATGGAATATGGAAGTATTCTATTGAGGAATGTTTCATAGAATTTCAAAATCAATTTCCCGGCGTTGTTGAGTACAAAATTTTTCAAAGTGCAGTTCAGCGTTGTGTTAATGTTTTTCGTGAAATGGGCAGTGTAACAAGAAAAGAAGGAAGCGCCCGACCTAAAAAGCGGACTGAAGAATTAAAAGAAAATGTCCAACAAATAATGGAAAATGCGCCAAGAACTTCTGTACGTGTTTTATCACAAATTTTAATTTATTGTTATAACAAGGAGGGGGACACTTTCCGCAGCTCCTTTAATTGTTTGTTATTGTTATCACGATTATTCTTTAAAATCGTTATTATTGAAACTGACAGCTGCTATACAGCTCGTTGAGAAATGAGGTTAAGTTGGTCGCTATAAGCTACTCCCTACGTCCAATGTGTCAGAGCCAAGTTCGACCACGTTTTTATTTGAACGCTCGTTATATTAAAAAAAACCTACTATAATGATGTCGTAATTAAAATAAGCGATTTTTTATATGTAATAGCTGTTTTACATTGACAAATTATTGATCAATTAAATCATGAAGTTGTTTGATCAAGAAATTGTCAATGTAGAACAGCTATTAGTTGGCCAAGAAATATTTCTTAAAAAAATGCGAAGCATTTGGAATTCTGTTTGCATTTTTACGAAATTAATCGGCGCATGCCTTGGATATGATGTCACGTAAATTAGGTTCAAGAATCTATTTCCACAAGGCAACACGTAAAATGAGACATTTGATTATACGAATGGTTCAAATAAAACTATAAATACCTTCAAGAGGTTGCGGATTTTGTTTAAAATAAACTTTACTGAATATATTAACTTTCAAATAAAAATTAACTTTCTTTTTTATGCTACAGATTCCCCGTTTTATTTTGAAAGTCTAATATTTTTCGAACATTAAAATTAAAATAAATAGTAAAATAATTTTCTAACGGCATGTAACCATGTAAATCATTATTTAAACATTAAAGAGTGACTATTTTTTTTTCTAATTAAAGCTAATTACTGACCTGGCATTTTCGTTTCGGTTTCACAAGAAATATTAATAAAGCAAACAGATTTCACGACGGATTGTGTACAATGCACTCCACCATGTTTGTCTTTTTGTTTTTTTAATAGATAGTACAAGACCAATTATCAGATACAGTCTGTCAGAGTAATTTTGATGGATGATTCGCGATGAAGTGGTGAATTATAAGAGCAATTGTTAAAAATCATTGATATAATTATGCTACGATTCCGCGAATTTTCGTAAATGCGCATAATGTACTTAAAAAAAATATTAAGGGTTTCCAAACACCAACGCATATTTTCCGAGAATCCTCGACGGTATCTCGAAATCAAAGTTCTCAGATAAATCCGGGTTTTTCCGTAGAAAACGAAAGAATGTCACAAATGTTAATCCAATCTAATCTACATTGCATTTTTATTATTACGATTATTTTATGTAAAAATATTGAAGTTATTCCGACCCCCATAGACAAAAAAATGCTAGGACGACTACTGTGACTGTCGTCAGCTTTTCGATAGTATGCAAACTATAAAAATGTTGAAATACAAGGATTTCTTTACTTTTTCCAATAAAAAGAATCATGTTTCTTTTTATTGGAAAGGATTTTAAAAGGAACTATGGCGTTCAAGATATTTACATGAATCGTTTTTTCATTTTAGAAGAAAAAACCGCGGAGTGCTATTAAATTAGAGGGTTGAAATTGGAGATAGGGGTGAAAATGCACCCCTTTCAGATTTTTTAATTGTAGCTCAAAAACGAAGCAAAATTACGCTATAGTTCGTAGGAAAAATTATTTAGAGAATTGAATTTCCCATCGACATGGCTTATTAAAAAAATTTAAACGGAAAATTTTATGCAAAAAATCGTTAATAAACAATTTGAAAACATGCAGAAAATAAGATTTTTTTATTTTTTTTTTACTTTTTTGACTAATTTATGTTAAAAACGAAAATCTAAAAAATACTTAGTGTTTGACCGATTTTAATCCAAACACTTTTGAAAACGCACCATTTTGAAGGGAATCCCATCTAGTTTTTTTGTACAGCAATTTTATTTGCCTACTTCTACTAAATAAAAAAAATAGAGTTCCAATTTCGTTAAATACTCGTCAAATATCGAAATTTCTAACGTGACGTATTAATTACGAGATAATTTTATCTGACAAATTACTCTTGTACTTGTCAAACAAACAATGGCACTGATTTGGTACTAATCTCGATGGAAATAGATTTATCTGATTTGTGTTTCTGCTAAAATTACATACGTAATGTGTATTTTTGTACCGATACGATAACCATACCTCGAGTGCCTAAATCTGAGTCCAAGTTTTATTCCGATAGAGATAAAACGTCGTTTGTTGCATTTCCAGAATGTTACTGCGTCCTTCCACAAATAAGATCCACTTCTTATTTGTGGAAGGGCGAAATGGGTGGTGACTATTAGACGTCTTCGTTATAGCCATCTTTCTCTATCGCACGGATTTCTATGACTTACTTCATCGCTCTCTGTAACGGCCGATGAACCATGGGGACTTTCCGACCCTGTATGCACAGACCGACAAGAATAAGTTTGCTTCTGAGACAGCTCCAGCCACAAGGCAAACGCTCCCATCCCAATCAAGGCTTTCAGCGCAGTTTTTTGCGTTTGTATGTCGTTATAATCCGCAGTGAAATAGAATACTGAGTTTCTAGGTTCATTATACCAAGGTGGGATGAGATTTGTCCGGATCGGCCTAGGAGAGGAACGAATAAAGTGAATATCTTTGTTGCGTATTGCTTTGTTTGCCTTTTTTCATTATCAACACTTTATTCATAAAGGTATGTCAAGTAAAATTGGCACGATAGGTATTTCCTTTATCAGGTTGGTATATTGTTATGTAAATAAAGGAATAACACTCGATTGCAGCAAGTAATCAAGTCTAAATTGAGAGGTTTTATAATGAAAATATAAGAAACGAAATACTCTTTTCGTGTCACGTCAACAAATTGTCGTATTTGAAATAGTACAGACCGTATCTGACCCTTATGTACTATTTACATAGATACTATAAAAATGAACAACTTCAAATTAATTTATTTTTACAAGGATTTGGAAGAATTTAAGAACAACCTACATGTGTTTAGTAAAATAGATACACTAATGTGCTTAAAACTTACAAAAAACGATATAAAAGAATATTCCTTTTAAACGAAGTAAAAATTTAATATTAGCCGTGTTATTCCTAATGCGCATTCTCGGTAAAGAATAGCCTCATACGCGGGTGTGATCTTGTTATGTTTTCGCTGTCATCATTAGCGTATTTTCTCTTGTTTTGTTTAATTTTGGCATTTTCTAGTTCTACCAAGTATTTTTTATTGTTTTTCTTGGTGCATTGCTGTCAGTCTGTTTATCGAGTGTTTTTTTTTCTTCGAGTGGTTTATTATAGGCGTACTCTTAACCACAACTAAACTTTTCTTGAATTATATCCTGTTGCGAGGCTATTTCTCCACGAAATTATCCTTAATGCGCATGCTCAGTAACATCGATATAATTTTAATTTATTAATTACTATAAGTCAATATTTTATTAATTTAAATATATAAATTCTATAATTCTATTTGTTTGTCACTTGAGGTTTGAAACTTCTTAAATATTGCCAGAATATCGCGATATTTAAGGTCATGACAAAGAAGCCATTTTTTTGGCATTTGTCCAAAATAGAAAATCGATCTAACTGTAAAAATGTTGAGAAATTCTTCCCCCAATGTGTACTATGGGGTTCCTTATTATTTGGCGTATGTGACGTCACTACTAAAAAGGTCACATTTTCGTCAAGTTATTTGTTGTTTATACTTTTGAGGATGTTCAACTCAGGGAACCGTTAGATTTGGAAACAAATATTATTGATTTTAAATTGTTTCCCAGCTTCTATGACGGAAATAAATTACATTTTTTGTTTAATATAAGAAGTAAAGGATCATTATTTTCTTTAACGCATGATTTGTTTTCATTTCAGTCTTGATGCAACCTAAGCACATCATAATAATACAAAAATGTATAGTTTTTGTTAACATATATTCTAATATTAGCGCCAGTATTTTTTTACAAGTATTAAGTTAATTCAAACAAATTGAGAAATATTTAAAAAAAAAAATCCCATCCCTGCCAACTGATACGTATTTTTGAACAGTAAATTTCTGTCAAACAAAAACGTTATAGCAAAAAAAAGGAAAACACAAAAAAGTTTTAGGTTTTTTAATGAATTTTTGTAATACAGTTCTCGTTCTCACTAAACATTATATCTTTGTTAAAATAGTTTGTTATAGGAAATAAATTAGTGATATAAATAAACTTCTGTCAAAGTCATTTGTTTGTGCCTCGTCCATAGCCACTGCGATCCGTCAGATATAAACCCTCCTGTTTTTTTCAAAAATAGTTTTAAACCGAAATACGTCAAAAAGTCCTGAATCAAACAGTAACATATTATATATATTTGAAGAGAGAAAATTTTAACGAAACTAAGTATGCACTAATACATAGGG